AGCTACATAGATAATAAATATTTTTTATTAAGAAATCTTAGCAAGACCCGGGCTTTTTTTGTATGAACGGAATTTTTTTCTATAAATCTATATCTCAAAAAATTATCTAACAGAAATATCCAGAAATCTAAATATAGAAATAACATAACTAACAGAAATAACACGAATAAATAAATTCTATTTGACTCTGCCTGTTCAAGTGACTCAAGCAATAAGATAGACTGACCCCTTTCCAACTTCTCAAGGATTCAACCCATAAGGAATCATTACAAATCTTGATAATTGAAAAAGTTTCCTACTTCGACATCATTATTTGAGTCAAGTTTTACTTTTACAGTAAAGCCTACATTTGATTATCATAAGAAATAAGAATTTCTGTTTCTTTTCGAATAGAATTGTCAATGATTTAAAGCAAATAAGCTAAATAGATCGAACAATAAAAAGAAATATCATTGTTAAATATTTAAATTTAAATATTTTAGGGATGCAAATTCTTTTTCACAAAAATAGAAAGACTATTGTCACCGAAATAGGATAACAATACATACCCATAGGCTAAGCACTTCCACGTTTTATATGTATTTTCATATTTTGTTTAACCTGAGGTTAAGTAATCTTTCTGATCTATGCCCCATCTTATCTTTATCTGGATCACAAAAGGAGTCGGTTACATTTTCATGTCATTTGAACTCGATTTAGTTCATTTTGTGAAAAACTAAGATATGATTCTGAAAAGAATCATTAAAAATCAAAAAAGAAAGAAGAATAAGATTCTATCCAATATTAGGCCTTGAAACATAACATTGTTGAACAAAAAAGATGTATTCGGATACAATGGATATGCTCTGGGACGGAAGGATTCGAACCTCCGAATAGCGGGACCAAAACCCGTTGCCTTACCACTTGGCTACACCCCATTTATATTGTTATTGGACACTAATACTAATAAAGAATAATATTAGTATTAAGTGTTCGTCAATTCCAGCCCAACTATCTATAGAAAATCTTTCTTCTTTATTCTTCTTTATAGAATATGTTATAGATTCGTGCTAGGATTTTGACATGTGTATATCTAGAATTCAACTGAATTTATTGATCATTACATACAATTCAATTAATATATTGTATGAAAGTATGATTTCTTCTATTCTCCTTTGAGAATTGGAGGATTTTTGATTGAGCGGAAAAAGAAGGAGTTTTTTGTCTACCTTACTTTCTTCATTTTTCCTTATATAAATAACTCAATCAAAATGCAATTATCTCGACGAACAAAATGTATGTTATGCTTAATATCTTTAGTTTGATCTGTCTTAATTCTGCCCTTTATCCGAGTAGTCTTTTCTTCGCCAAATTGCCCGAAGCCTATGCTTTTTTGAATCCAATCGTAGATGTTATGCCAGTCATACCCCTGTTCTTTTTTCTTTTAGCCTTTGTTTGGCAAGCTGCTGTAAGTTTTCGATAAGATCTAAACCCTTCAATATATTCAATATAAATATAAATAGAATCTAATTAATTTTTAAGAAACTTTTTGCTTAGTAAATGAAATTCGAAGACAAGAGCAAAAAATGAAGAAAATAATATCTCATCCATATCCTTTCAAATCTTTCATGTAGAAAGATCAAAAACTACATTATATACTCACTTAGATAGATACTTATATTTATACTTAATAGCTATTAAGTAATAATAATAATTCCAATTTAGAATTATAAAATCATAATAAGATATCTTTATATATAATAAGATATCTTTATATTATAAATATAAAATATAAATAATAATAACATGTACAAATAGTAAATCGAGGTAGCCATTCTATGACAACTCTTAACTTTCCCTCTGTTTTGGTGCCTTTAGTAGGCCTAGTATTTCCGGCAATCGCAATGGCTTCTTTATTTCTTCATGTTCAAAAAAACAAGATTGTTTAGAGCCGATGGCACAAAATCTCATCTATTTTTTTTTCAAAACTGACGCTTGTATCATAACACAGATATCTATTTAGCAAAATATGGCATAAGCGGCTTCCGTCGAAAAACTCTTATGTCTCCAGAAAATGCTATAGGAATCAATTGATTCTAGCTATTTTCAAATAGACCCGAATTGACGGATAGCTGAACTGTAAAGTTGGTCTATCTATATCTATTTGGCTATCTTTAGTGAGATCGTACGAAGGGTATGTTATTAGTTTAGATCTAACGAATTTAATGAATTACTCCTAAAGGATCACATCAAACTAGTTCTAGGTGATGCGAGTTACTTCGGAAAAAAAAGGACTAAAGTCAAATTCATTTTGGGGTATTCTCTCAATTCCAAAAAAATCAACTGGATCAAGTATGAGTTGTAATGGAATGGCTCCCTGATATCCATATAAAGGACACAACGAGAATAAATACCTTCTTTCACTTCTATTCTGACAAACTGAATATCTTTTATAAGAAATTGGAGGAAGACCAAACGATTTTTTTCCAGGAAATCCCCAACGAAAGATACACACTATTCCGTCTTTTCTATCAAATCGATCATAACCACTACCTACATCCCACAAAATTGTGCACCATAAATAGGAGCTAATAAAAAGACCCGCGATTCCGTAGAAAGACATCACAATTCCTTGTGGAAAAAAAAACTATTTCCTGAGACGGAAATAAAGATATCAAATTTCTACCAAGATAACTCGAGGTTCCAACCAACAAGAATCCTAATGAACCTAAAAAAAGGATAACATCCCAGCAGAAATTACTTATTTTTCGAGCCCCCGTTATAGGTTCTATCCATATATGTTCTGATCGACAACTCATACTTGATCCAGTTGATTTTTTTGGAATTGAGAGAGTACCTCAAATGAATTTGAGTTTAGTCCTTTTTTTTCCGAAGTAACTCACATCAACTAGCACTAGTTTGATGTGATCCTTTAGGAGTAATTCATTAAATTCGTTAGAACGGATATGTAATAGAAAGTTTGAAACTTATTACTTTCCGACTCCATCTGCTCTCAAGATACAAATAAAAAATCCGAAAGTTCTTCTTTGTGGCGATAATACCAAAATATCAAGTTGGTTCAGTCGTCTTTATCTTGATCCTTACTGGCCTCTTGAATCCTCTCTTCCCTATTTCTTTCTTTTTTCTTTTATTTGCTTTTGTATATAATGTTTATTATTTGTTTTCTTGATTATTGATAGGAATTCTCTTGTTAAGACCCTATGAATCGATTAAAACCCCAGATTCATACTATAACCACGATGATTCAATAAAAATACTAAGTTAAGCTCAAAGATTCCCTGAGTAAGAACCATCCGATCATCACTTATTCCACGAATAGATAATTACCAAAAATATGAAGAAATATTTGTCTTTGAGTCAAACTAAGCATAAATAGGCATTTGAAAGAAGAAACAATTTCGATTTATTTTTAGAAATTCTAATTCTTTGAAATTTTTTTGGAGTCCGGCCGCGAGGTTTGAATATTACGTATGAATCATAGTTCAAATATTTCTTAATCTATTTCATATATTCCGTGTCCCAGATACTATAATAAATATCCGACGAAGTAGAGCCATCTCTATCAAGATGACAGACCCATTCTCTGTAATATCAATAGGATCAATTATAACAAGTCACACACTCATATTCGAAACAAAGAAATTCCACGGTCGAACTACCAAAATAGAATAAGCTAGAAATCCGAGCTCTAAATGATTCATTTTTTATTGAAAAGCTAGGACTTGTTGGTTCTTATAGATCTAATTCATTGAAATTCCATCCAATAAAACGGAAGAATTATAAATCTCCAAAATAATAAATAGAAATACCGCAAATAGAGCCATTGCGACACCCATCAAAGGGGTCGTTCCCCACCCAGGAGCTACTTTACCATATTCCGAATTCAATGGTTTTAATAAATCCCCTACAGTAGTTCGTCTTGGACCAGATCTAGCACCGTTCTCAACAGTTTGTGTAGCCATAAATCTTATTGTATTCATTGAAATCTGTTGACTTTGTATACCATCTCATTGTAAATAAACGATCTTATCATAGATTCATTGTGGTCTTGAAATTATATAATAATGGAAACAGCAACCCTAGTCGCTATCTTTATATCTGGTTTACTTGTAAGTTTTATTGGGTATGCCTTATATACCGCTTTTAGGCAACCTTCTCAACAACTTAGAGATCCATTCGAGGAACACGGGGACTAATTGAAGTAATGAGCCTCCCAATATTGGGAGGCTCATTACTTCAATTGTGATAATGAAAAATCATTTCATTTTTTTTTATTTTTTAGTTGGAACTTTTGGAGGTTCTCTAAAAAAGATAGCGAAAAAAATTATCCCTAGAGTCGAGACTAAGAGGAATGTAAAAACCAATGCTTCCATAGATTCGATCGTGGTTTACAATTATAGCTTCCATACCTGTTTATTTTTTGTTTCTTTTTTAGGGGATCATATCCCGAATAAAGAAAGAGCAAGAGTAACAAAAAAATGACGATGCAAATCAAGATTGGTACCCTATATCAAAAAAAAAAATAGATTCGAAAGACACCAAAGAAATGTTATATCAGCCTATTTGTCTTCTTGTAGTTGATCTCCAAGTTTTTGGAATGCTCCAAATTCTACTTGAGCATCCAAATATGGGTCAATACCAGCAAAAAAATCTCTAAACAAGGTTCGGGCACCATGCCAAATGTGTCCGAAGAAGAAGAGCAAAGCAAATGAAGCATGTCCAAAAGTAAACCAACCCCTCGGACTGCTATGAAAAACACCATCGGATTTCAAAGTAGCATGATCTAATTCAAAAATTTCCCCCAATTGAGCGCGTCTAGCATATTTTTTCACAGGATCACTATAACTGACTCCATTGAGTTCACCACCGTAGAACTCAACAGTTACACCTACTTGTTCAACACTATACTTAGATTCTGCCCTTCGAAAAGGAACATCGGCTCTAACAATCCCATCCCCGTCTACCAAAACGACCGGAAATGTTTCAAAAAAGGTAGGCATACGACGTACAAAAAGTTCACGCCCTTCTTTATCTCTAAAAATAGGATTTCCTAAGAATTTGCACCTACTTTAAATTTCTGAGGCCATGCAAAAAGCGATAATAGATCGCGTCGTTAAAAACGTTTTTTTATGTATAATAATATATATAGATATTTATCATTGATTAGTAGGAGGCGAACTTTATGTTAAATAAGAGAACAACATAAGTATACGCTTTAGGTCAGCATATATCTATGTCTGCTCACAAAGCGCGAAGGGTAATTGATCAAATTCGTGGGCGTTCCTACGAAGAAACACTTATGATATTAGAACTCACGCCTTATCGAGCATGTTATCCAATTTTTAAATTAGTTTATTCTGCAGCAGCAAATGCTAGTTTCAATATGGGTTCGAATGAAGTAAATTTAGTCATTAGTAAAACTGAAGTCAATGAAGGCACTATTGTGAAGAGATTAAAACCTCGCGCTCGAGGGCGTAGTTTTGCGATACAAAAACCTACCCCCATTACTATACATATCATAATACGACATAGTTGTATGCTTTTTTTTCGATTACTTCAAATTGACACATTATTTGTACATTGACAGATTAGTTATACATAATATCTCAACAATGAAGTTCTTTTATTAATTTGACTCAAAATTGGAGATATATGGTAAATCCATTTCATATAGTAATTACTAAAAATTATAAAAAATTATAAATTAAGAAGTCATAAAGTTATCCAAAATTTTTTACCATGTAATCCATTAGTTTCAACAATCCATTAATTTGAACTAAAAATATTATATCTGCCCTTCCCGAGAAAGAGAAAAATTCTTCATTATTGTAAAGGTCGATGGGGAAAATAAGACTCCCCACCATAAAAATATTAGTGAAAATATACTACAAAGAAATAAAAAATCTTGTACCGGTCTATTTCTTATTGATTAGAATAGGGACTGCCCGTTTTCATTATAGGATAACAAGATGATTAGAAATCCTTTACTTTTTTTTCAAACCAAACGCTCTTTTGATTTTGGAAGTTTTTTTTATCAATATATTGTTTCTTATACACACATCTCCATTATGGAATGTAGAATGGTAATATTTAGGATTCATTAAAAAATCAAGAATACATTCCTGGGAGAAAGCCTTCCCGTATTGGACACTAATATTTTTTAATGTCTAATTAGTTCGGGTAATCATTCAAATTAAGAACGGACGCTCGTTGCTTTTTCTTTGCCTATGATCAAAATTAAATTAATTGAAGCCGCGGGGCCCTATCCATTTATTAATTCGACCCAACTTGAAATTGACTTCGGTTTGCTCCCTTTCACTAATTTAAAGAAGGTTTTGTACCGAGCCGGAATAAATTATTCTCAGAACTCTTAATTGATACGACATGCTATTTTTTCCATTCATTTCCCTTTCAGGATCAGTCGTGGTCTTCCAAACTTTACCGATGGTATGGATGAATCCCTCGCTTCATCTAATGTGTAAAAGATCCTAGCCGCACTTAAAAGTCGAGTACTCTACCGTTGAGTTAGCAACCCAAATAGAAAACGGGTATGTAGATACAATCAGAATAAAACAAAATGATGAAATAAAAGCATTAAGTACCAAATCAAAAAATATATAAAAAAATTAGAATCTATTTGTAACATAAAAATGACTAAATCAGATGAAAAAATAAAAAAATTTCCGATAAAAAAAGAAATAAAGAAATGGAAAAAATGCTAGACCATCCCCTATTTCTATGTTATCCACCTTTTTCAATAAAAAAATGTGGGTATCAAATGTAATCCAACGAACCTAAAATTTTAATCAACTAAGGTAAAAAATCAAATGGGACGGAAATAAATAGAGCTGCTTATCACGATGAATTATATTTGTTCGATACAATGTTGTCAATATAAAGGGTAAGAAAAGAATACGATGGAAAAAATACAAGAACTTAAATTGAAATAATAGTACAAAAAAGGACTTGTGTTGGATTGGCACTGCATGTATACTAAAATTTTTAGTTTCTAAATAAAGAAGAAGTAGAAAAAGGATTTATGCAATCAATAGTATATTGAATTAATATAAGTCGAATAAAGAACTTCGATTCCTTGTGTCTTACTTGGTATTAGAATTTAGAATTCGAATGAAAACCACCCGATTGTAGGCAAAAAAATTTGATTTTGTGAGGATCAATCAAATAAGGTTTTCGTTAGAAAAATATTCTATAAAAGAAATGATAAATAGATACTAATAGAGCAAGAAAAGAAGGAAATAAAAAAGCATAGTATAGAAAAGATATCCAAAATTATATAGAAATCACTATCCTACCCTTAGTTTTTATTTCCTTAATTTAATTTAATTTCGTTTGATTAGGGCAAAGTTCCTTAAAAACCTCTGCCTTTTTTAAAATATCCTGAACAGTTCCTGTAGGCTGAGCGCCTTTTTCAAGGAAATAGAGAATAGCGGGAACGTTTAAATAAGTTTGATTCTTGATCGGATCATAAAAACCCACTTTCCGAAGATCTCTTCCTTCTCTTCGGGATCGAACATCAATTGCGACGATTCAATAGACGGCTCATCAGGATAGATGTAGATGAAAAAGAACCCCCCCCCCCTAGAACCGTATAGGAAGTTTTCTCCTCGTACGGCTCGAGAAAAAATGATTTGAAGTTTTTTCTATGGATAAAATTATAATAAATAGTAAAGGAATCCGTAAAATAAATTAGCCTATAATTTAACTCATAGTCATTTTTATTTAACTTACTTACTGAAAACTAAAAAATCATTTGTACTCATAACTCAAGTTCAATAATTATCAAATATATTAAATAAAATTAAGATATTTTTTTATTGAGTGGTCTTTAACCCCCCCCCCCCCCCCCCTTTTGTCTCGTTGAAAATCTATGTGGATTCTTTATTCGGATCTGTGAGACAATTGAAGCGGTGTTTCCTTGTTCCGGGATCCTTTATCTTTGTTTTAAATCATTGGGTTTAGACATTACTTCGGTGCTTCTGAATCCTTTCAAAATGCTAGCAACATACCCCTTTTGTGATTTCTTTCTAGAATCATACCGACGGTTGATTCGTGCGCGATACACTGTGGATCGAAAACTTTTTGCGGTTCCAACAATTTTTTTGAATTGAAAATTTGCTCGAATCGGATCCTTTCAATTTCGATATCGATATCAAAGATATACTTATGAAGTTGTTCCAATTTATTGATTGGCCTTAACCCTAGATCATTGCCCCAGAGAAATTAATCCATACTTTCTACTGGAGCTCCATCATGAACTATTTACATTACAACCCAATAAAAAAGAAGGGTTCTAGTAGAATAGAACAAACGACGTCGAGCCAAGAGCACCTTCATTCCTATATAAAAGAAAATGGTGGATGTGAGAATAAAAATCCACACCGGATTGTGTCCGACCCCGAGGAATCGAAGAATTACAGATGAATTTACAAAAAGAATTTCATTCTGTAAATAGAAAACTTAACATTGCTATCACACGAATTGAAAAGCCTTATGGAAACCCTAATATTCTTGCAGAATTTATAGCGGGCCAATTAAAAAATAGAGTTTCTTTTTGCAAAGCAATGACAAAGGCTATAGAATTAACTGAACAAGCAGATACAAAAGGTGTAACACCTGATTCCTGGTACGATTTTATTTAAGTATTTTCTTAAATTTTTGCCATGAACTCGGCGAGTCTGCGTCCCGACTCGCCGAGTAGCAGCGAGGTGGACACGGGATTTAAGCTGGGAACTCGGCGAGTCGACATATGGACTCGGCGAGTCCACCTGTCTGGATGAAACTCTACTTTCAGACTTTGCACCCTATTTTACCCATTCTAAAACACCCATTTCGTCCAATTTTCCTCCCAGAGAGCAGTAGAGAACAACCCTAGCTCCTTTAGTGTTCTTGAGTGATTTTGATCTTCCAAAGAAGGTTCTGGAGCTTAGAAGAAGAAGGAGGAAGTTGGAGTGTTCCAGAAGTGAAGTTAGACCCGAAATCTACTCTGGGAATGGCACCAAATCAGGTAATAAAACCCTCACTTTGCTCATTAGCTCTTAGGTTCCTTTTGTCCCCAATGGTTGATCTTCAAGCCTTAAAACCCCCATATTTCGTGTCTATATGTGATAACCAGACCCTAGGAACTGAGACCCATGAGTTGGATCAGTTGCATGTCTCAGATTTGGCCAGATTGGGTGAAGAGTCGAAGGGAACTCGGCGAGTGCCAAAGTGCACTCAGCGAGTTCCATGAAGATGGCCTTAGACTCGACGAGTTGGATGAACAACTCAGCGAGTCCAATGAAGATTGCCTGGTACTTGGCGAGTCGTTCTTCAAACTCGGCGAGTCCCTTGATTATAGCCTTGAACTCGGCGAGTTGTTCTTCAAACTCGGCGAGCCATATGAACTGTCACTAGGATAAGAAGGGTTTAAGTGTAGGAGGTCCAACCCTTCGTAGTCGCACGTGGAATTAGCAATTTAACGTGTAGCTATAGTCCCAGAATCTCCAAATCTCCAAGGTTGATGTTCTGATGGAAGATTGGAGCGAATTGTGAGATCTGTTCGTCGAACTCGGCGAGTCCCCCCTTGGACTCGGCGAGTCCCGTCGCGGGTTTGTTAGTTGTCCCCGTTTAGCGAGTCAGGCTGACTCGGTGAGTGGGAACAGGGACCCGATGAGTCAGAGTCGGGCTAGACGTAGAAGGACTCGGCGAGTCGCTATATGGACTCGGCGAGTCCAGTCAATCAGAGAGTTGACTTTGACCAATAAGTTGACTTTGACCAGTCATTTGACCTAAGGGGTATTTATGAGTACCTAATCCATGATTACAGATTTATAGCCGGAGGGTTACCGGTGCGGCAGCCAGGCGTAGGTTGAGCGGGTTTTCAGCAGCTACCCTCGAGGTGAGTTACCTTCCAGTAGCGGTGGGTCTACGGCCACAATGCCGGCCCACCGTTAGGAGTTGTATGTTGGATGATTGTCTTTGTGATATCATCTAGGTTTGC